ATCGGTCAGGATATTATTATTATTTTCATCTCTAATTCCAAACGTGACGGGGCCTAAACATTTATGTGACCTGTTAATACCTCTGTACACGTCTCTTACGTTATTTTCGATTCTATTAGTTTCTATTTCAATTATTTTATTTTTAAAATACTCCCTTTTTTATTTTTGAGCAATTTCTCGTTTCATTCTTTGAGGTTCGAAAGTATTCCAGATTGTCTTCGATAGGATTATTTAGAGCTTTTAATTTAGCTGCTTTTCTTTTTTCGTACATGTTTAAGCAATCTTCATCAAACCATGGTTTGTTATTCTTATTTTCCTTGACACGAGTTACCGACCGCTTTAATATTATCCCTGATCTCTACCCATAACTTGTCAATATCCTCGCGGTCCTCATCAGAAAACTCTAAAGCTTCAAACCTATTTTTAACATCCAATTCGAATTGGGTTCTAATCGATGGATTTTTTTTTAATTTTTCCAAATTAAAATTCTCAAAATTGAGACGGTTTTCTTTTCTTTTTTTATATTAAGTTTTTGTCGAAGTTTCGCGATTCATGATACAACCCACATTCTGCTCCGCGATAAGACAGTACATTAATTATACTGCTTTGCCACCAGCTATGTGATACCCATACATGATCAATTTGATTTCGTGTTTGCGAATCCGGTGATGTCAAATTATATTTATGAATATCCTTATGTTTAAACGTAGTACTTTTAATTATCAGGTTTTTCGAGATGGCAAAGTTTATCAAACGGATCCCATTATCATTACTATATTCGTTCAAACTTTCTTTACCAACCGTCGGAACATAAACTTCTTTCCTTCCCATCTTTGCGTTTGCGTCCCCTACAATCATTTTCATGGAGTTTCGTGGTAGTTTATTATAAAGCCATTCGAGTTTATCGTAAAATTCGCATTTGACTTCATCGTCTCTTCGGTCGGACAATGTATGTTTATTAACGCGATTTTAATCCAATGTCCCTGAAATATAGCTATCGAAATTCTATCACTAAAGAATTGTACGTTCCTCAAAGCGGATAGCAATCTATTCCTCATTAGAAATCCGGTACCTAAACAATGATTCTCGCTTCCTCCGGACCAAATAGTGTACTTTTCTTTCCTCCCAAATTATACTCATTAACCTCATTTGTGACCGATTTTAACCCACCAGCTGAATTGAAACTCCTTACGTTCCACGTTCCAATACTTAAATCCCTATTTTTCAACTTACGCCATGAGTCCCCTAAAGCAGTTCCCACCCAGAAACCCGAACAGGGAACTAGTTTACCTCCGGATAGTGAGCGTTTTATCTTATGAATATCCATGAATATTTGTGGTGTATGGCGAACTAAAGATATGGGAGTAGGGCGTTCAATTCTACGTCACACCCTCCAGCAAGTCTCATTGTAGGTCATCGAGTCCATTGGACTTAGCCGGTATGAACTTCCAAGGAATTTCCACCGACCATCCCCAAATCCGCCACCCGTGGGACGCTCCCCATACGCGGTAATGAGCCCGCGCGAGGTAAAACTTTATAACAGAGTATAATTAAAAAATGTTGCCAATGATATTAATGGGTAGAGACAACCAAGAAACACATAAATAAATGAATGTCTCTTAATTACTTTTTGCAATAAACCGACAATATTATTTTATTTTCTTCAACGTGCCCGATCCTCGTTTTTTAACAACGAATTTACAACATTCATTATGTCTTCATCTGTTGCTTTGTCTAAATTGTTGGAAACAAAATCTATAATCACAAAATCCATATATGAATGATACTGTTGATGATGAAGATAGTAAATAGAGCACAGCTTTTCAGTTTTCATTATTTCTTTCCCCATTTACTTAATGAACGCTATATAATGAACAATGGCAATGAATTTTATTGGAATTCCATCTACAAGTGTAAAAAATTATACTTCAATTTGTTATACTAGATTAATTTCAAAAATCATAAAATGTACTCACATATAGTGATCGACTAGTGGACAACTTCTTTTATGTTACCCATTTTCATCATCATCGTCATAATCCTTTCCCTCTCTACCGCAGCGCAGTGTGGAGATGTCCTCTACAGAACTTGACCCATGTGTTCCTCTACTGTACCAGCTCTCTCCTCCTGCTCCAGTCCAGCCCTCGCTTCCTGAATGCCTTCCGCACGCCTTCTTCTCATGTCATCCGTGGTCTTCCTCTTGGTTTTCTACTGTCCACTCTTGTCTCATACGTTATCCTGGCCGTTATTTCCATGTTCATCCTTAGGAGGTGCCCGAACCATCTAAGTTTATTCTCTTCCAGAGAGGTTTCTATCGGCTGTACCTTGAGGTTTGATCTTATTGTCGTGTTGCGGATCCTATCTCTCCTGGTCATTCCCTCAACCTTTCTTAGGTACCTCATCTCCATTGTCTGGATCTGCCCCTTGTGTTTTGAGATAAGGGTCCATGATTCGGAGGAGTAAGAGAGGATGTACAGGAACGTTGACTTGTAGACGGATATCTTTGTTTTCTTCGTCACTTCTCTTTTGTTGAAGAAAGCTTTCCGGATTGAGTGGAACATTCATCCAGCTGCTCCCAGCCTTTGCGACACCTCTCTATCGATATATCCACTTTCGTTGATGCTTACACCCAGATATTTGAAATCCTGCACCTGTTCCAGGATATGTCCTTTCAACCTCAATATTCTCATAACGCGGCGGGGACGTCTACCTATTCTCATGCATTGTGTCTTCTGTGGATTAATACCCATGTTAATGCTAGAAAGCTCGTATTGTATGATATTTATGTTGTATTGTAGATCCCGGTCATCCGCAGCAAATATAACGAGGTCATCGGCAAAAGCGAGGACTCTGTAGAAAGTAGACTGTAGACTCCTATATCCCAGTCGAAAATGTCGCAGTCTGGGTTCAGCTCTCCTCAAAGCTTGATCCAGCACCAGTATGAAAAGTAGGGGACTTAGGCTGCACCTCTGCCGTATTTCAAACTCCTTGGATGTGTGGTTGCCAGTCCTTATAATATTTCTGGTCTTTCAGACATAGCTCGCTCTATATCCTCCATTTTGACTCTGTCAAATCCACTTTTTCAAGATCCACGAAGCAGACAGAAAGTTCTTCCCCTTTCTCTATGGGCTTCTCTATGACTTGCCTCAAAGTGAATATCAGATTCTGTGTACTCCTCGAGTTTCTGAATTCATACTGCTTCTCTCCAATCTGGCATTCGACTACTCTTCTTACCCTCTTACCCTTGCTTCAAGGATTCTTGAAGAGAGCTTACTTGGCACACTGAGCTGAGATATGCCTCGATGATTATTGCATTCTCTATTGTCTCCCTTCTTGTAAACAGGCACTACCACAGCAATCTCCTAGTCCTTCCGTATCATTTTCTTATGCTAAATCAAATTTAAGAGATAGAGAAACATTTCTTCGCCTTTACTGCCCATGTACCGCATCATTTCGAGAGTTATTTCATCAAACCCTGTAGACTTGCCCAGCTTTATCTTAGAGATAGCTTCCTGAAGATAGATTCCTCGCTGATGAAATCGTCTTCTTCCGAATACTCCATCTCCGCATTGTGAATCTCATCCAGATCAACATTTCTCCCTTCCAGCAGCTCCTTGAAGTACACTCTCCATCTTTCAATTATATCTTCTTCCTGTCATAAAATCCTTCCTTCTTTATCCTTGATTCCTTTGAGAGAATTCGGCCTTTCCTTCCTCATTCCTTTTATGACTTTGTAGAAGATGTTTTGGTTCTCTTTTGAATTTGTCTCCATTATGTGACCAAACTCTTCCCATGATTGTTTGGCTTGAAAAACCTTTATCTTAGCCTCGTTCCTTGTACTTTTCATAGTCTGCAGATGTTCTCTCCTATTTTCAAACTTCTTCAATCCGTACTCATAGAAAATATCTAGTTTCTTTGTTTTCGATTCGAATGAGATAGATACCATCATAATTTTTATATTAGTTAGACCATGCTATCAAATTGTTCATCGTGCAAAAGATGTCATTTGGATATCCGATTAGAGACGTTTTAAGACATCAGGTTTAACCGATCTTTAAGACATCTTTTAGCCATCTATAAAAGTCATCTATAAATGGTCATCTGTTAGATATCTTAAAGATAACTAAAAAAAAATATAACTTTTAGATATCTTCCAGATATTGATGCTGAGTGGTATGATTCAATGAGGTTGTTCAAGAGAATCTCATGTGTCCTACAATGGTTTTATATTATTCCAAATCACCACTAATAATATCCGATAGACTTAAGGAGTAGTTCGATCAAATTTTTTGCGTAAACAAGATGCAATATTTTCAAGTTATTATGTAATATTAGCACGCAGCTGTTTTTCAAGTAAAATCGAGTTCTCTAAATATGTTAGGCGCATAAAGAACTCAATTGGGATTGTCTAGATTGATCTCTCTTTATTTTAGCTGGAACGCCAAATGGGCAAAACTAAATTCTGAAAAGTGCTTTTATATTATGCACAGTAACATCCACGGGATCCGCTTAGACTACATTTTCGAACTTGAAAGGCTGAATGTATATAGGAGTCTTGTATGATAGATCTTTTACCACTTATCTTTAAGTTTCATTCTGAAGTTGATACACTTAAATTTTGTGGTGTTCTTTTCGTCATTGGAAACACAATATGAAACATTTTTGTACAGTACCTACAAAGAATACTAATATTATTAATTTTTTTAAACATCATTCGAGAGTGATGAAATAAAATCATTTAATGGTGGAATTTATAAAATTATTACCCACATTTCCTTGAAAATTGCTTGTCGGTTTATTAATTATATACAACTATCATAATTATTTGACCTTGGTGAAAAGTTTCGAATTTGTTTTTATTTTAAAATTTATTTTATATTTAAAACTATCTACGGGTTAGTTTTTTTGCTTCCATACATTTAATTACACTACTTTGAATAGAAAAAAATGTTTTTTTTCATAATAAGTAACATTGCATCATGTGGCTTTGTGATCTCTTTGTCTTATCATGTAGTCATACTCCATACAAGAAAATATTCTGATTTCAAATTTCACATATACAATGCCTATATATGATTTCATTAGAGGATTATTAGGACTTCCGACCAGAGAAAAGTGAGTTCTTATTTTTCAGTTCTAATATGTTGCAATGCTATATTGTAATATCAGTGTTACTGACAAGTTGTGAATATGTATTATTTTCTCAATTCAAATATAAGAAATTTCAATGAAAGGCCATTAAATAGCTACATTGCTGATTATACACCGCATATATCAACTATATTATATTTATAGTTTTAATTGACATGTTCATTCAACTCCTACAGTTAAAAATTAAATATGTCTTATCAGTTATCTGTTGATATGAATATTTCATGTGAATGAAAACTTGAATTCAAAAGTATCCTGCTTACATGTACATGTGCATTTAATAAAATAAATTCATATACCAGAAAGTGTTTGACTTGCCAACCAATGGATAGTTCAAGGAGGTAGCTATGATTAAGATTTAATCATTGCCTGTTAAAACACTTAATGATAATGTTTTACTTTGGCAAACTCGTCTTCTTCTGCTGAAATCAAGGTGATAATTGGCTTTAATTACATCGCTGCTTTTGAATCCAGCTCACTCAAAAGAGGTAAACAAACCCTAATTGGAGTTTAGTTAAGATTGAGGCCTTACTAGATGGTTCGATCATTTATCTACATTTGTCATTCTCCGAATTCCATCGATTGTGTTTTCATGAGATCTTATACTCGTCCATAAAAGAGGAAGATCACTTGTCAGGTAGTACCCTTACATCTAAGGTGAAGATTATTTTTGTAACTAAAGCTTATGTAATATTTAGATGAATGTGCATTAATATCATGATTTACTGTAATTATGTTATAAAGTAATAAGTTATCTTCATTAAAATACGTTGACGATTGCACCTTGCCATTTAAGTACATCATCGCCTGTTTTGACATTTTGATATTTAATGTGATTGCTGTCTTCATTTGTTTATTCTGTCTAATGTTACCAATTACTTCTGTATTATGATACAGATTTCATGAGTTCTGCACTCACAAATTAATTATTTAGGCTTAAATTTATTTTTTGACTTAGATGTGTGTTTTAGTCTTGATAATTTCAAAATTCTTCATCTTTCACTGGATAGTTATTTACTGTTAACATTTTTTATTTTTCTTCTTAGTTTGCAGTTTTTGTTGGCTTATAATTTTTTAGCCTAAATTATGTGAAATCAGAGAATTATGGCCCAAAGGCCTAATTACTAATTAAAAGCAAACATCACATATCACTTTTTTCTTAAGTTTTAAATTATTTGTGTGCAGTGTGTCCTGAGGTGAAACTTGAATGTGAAAAATGGAGCTCTTAAGGTCTAATGTATTTCCAAATTTCTTTAATTTTTGAAACCCATCAGAAACTTCAGAACTAGTTTTCTCTACATTATGAATTTACAAATTTATGGCGTTTTCCTTTAGATCAGGGATATCCAAACTTTTTTGCCTGCGGGCCACATTGGGGACTCCAATAAATCCCGCAGGCTGTAATACAGAGACCTCCACTAAGTTCCGTAGCCCCTGGTGTGTGATAAATAAATCACCTTTCAGATGCAAAATGAGATTTTTTAGATAAACAATTCATGCAATAAATAGTGTAGAAACCTCCTATTTGTGTGATTTACTTAATTCCAAAATTTTTAAACAGTTTTAAAATTTACCATGTAATCAAAGAATTTGAAGGCCGTAGTTTGGAGGCCTCCTCTTTAGATCAACAATATGTGATATTACAAATAAGTTTTATCAATTCATGTGTGCCAAATGCCAGTATTTTTATTTTCTGCTCACTAACACTAACTCTAAGTTAAATAGACCTTTTCATACCAGTGAACCATCATTACTTAAGGCATCAATGACCCAGGAGTTTTACGTCTATAAAGAAAAACAAACAAATCATCACTACCATTTTTTCATTTACTAAAATTACTATGAATGTAATTGTAATGTACTTAGTACTCATTTTATTGAACTTCAAATAGATAAATAAAAAATAATGAGTATTTTTACCAACGATATTTTCATCCAAAAATAAATTAAATTGTTTGCTAATTTACTAAATTCTGGTCAGTTATTAATGTATTACTTACTAGAAACAAACATTCCTGGTTAATTAATGTAAATTTTATTTTAATTATTTGTTAAATAAAATAAGATAAAATGAAATTTTGCATAAAGTATTAGAAGTATTTATTTTTATGACCCTGCTGCAAAATTTTAAATTGTATATAATGTATTCTAAATATTTTTTTATCTTAATTTTAAAATTACTTGCTGATCTTCTTATTTAATGCTTAGTTTTATATGTATTTTTAAACTTTCATTGTCTTAATACTAAGACAATTGAACCTAATTGTTTTTAATTTTTTTTTTAACCCTTTTAAGGAATAATGAAAATTGGTTTAAGAAACCTGCCATTGGAGATAATGATGACGATGATGATGATGATGAAACCATTATCTTTGATGAAAATAGGTAAGTTACTTAATTTATGTATTATGATTTTTATTTATTGTGAGATTCATTTTTTTAATTATCATCATTCCCGCCTGTGTATTAGTTTAAAAAAATTTATTTTCAGTATAATGACCTATTAGGTATTATAGACTATTGTCGGTCGGTGTCTAAGCTTTTTATTTTATTTATTTATTTTTTTGGATACACTGTTGTAAAGAATTACATATTTTTACTCCCTTAACTACCTTTAGTTGACATAGTTGGGTGATTAGTTTAATTTTATTATTTATTACTATTATAATTATTTTTGATCTTACTTAGTTTACACATAGAGTCACCTGACTTTTAAAAAAAAATGATTTTTATGTTGGTTCCTGGAAATGGTTTATTACGAAATTCAATAGAACATGTGTATCTGTGAAGATTTTTTTTTTGTATTATAACTGCTTCATATGAATTGTTATTTGTTGTAGTACCACTCATGTGGGTGATGATTGTTTAATATTTACTGAAAACATTTTTTTTTCTACACTTGTAAAATTTTTTTTGTAGAAATCTGTTATTTTTTATTAATTTCTAAAACTAATAAACTGAATTATATCAGTATTTGTAATGGTAAAATGTTAACTAAAATCTTAAGAATCCATCAATTGTGTAAACATATTCTGCTGAATTTGCCTACCATACTTTTGGGATTAAAAATAAATTGGTTAAAAAATAAAATAAATCAGCATTGGAACGAAGTTTTAAGGAGCGAAAACTCTTTTTTGAATTTTGTATCATGTGGGTATTGTTAATTATTATTATTTGTATGTTTGTGGTTGATTGTATATTTTTTAATGGTTGATATTATGTTAGTTCATGTTTAAAAGTTTTATAATAATATGTAAATATTGAAAGAAGTAAGAAACTATCATTAATAGTCATTTGCTAAGTGTTTATCTTTGATCTTTTCAGACATGGAGGTCCTTTTGGTTTCAATGTCTTCTCTGGAAATATGAATGATATGCATAGATATTTTCAGCAACAAATGAATGATATGGTTAAAAATTTTGAAAGCCCTTGGTTTAATAGCCCAGACAGTAAGTATGTTAATGGAGTATAAATAATTTATTTATACATTTAAATCTGATCGATTAAATAATTATAGTATTGACATCCAAGACTTTATCATATTAATATCAATTTCAGGAGGTAACTTTTTTGGGATGATAGACAATGGCGATTCTGGTACAAATCCTGAAACAAAAGTAGCTGAAAGTCCAAGGAACAAATTTTTGAAACCACCTCAAGAACAACAGAAAAATGATTCATGGACTCAGAGTGAAAATAATTCACAAGCTGTGTTAGTTTTATTTACGCTACCTGACATATTTACAAATCCGTATTTATTCTATTATATGTGATTAAAAATTATTGAGTACAATGATTTCAAAGGTACTATTTGTTTTTGTTTTTTTCAGTCAGATACCTGATGATAGGAATCATGGTTTTGGCAGTTTCTTTTCTAGTGATCCGTTAGAATTTCACAAATTTTTCGAACAGCAAATTGATGATATCATGAAGAGATTTTCTTTTTCAACGTTTTTTAATTTTGATGAAGGTAATTATTTAAATAATTAGGTTCATCGAAAATTACTTTTGTTGATAACTAACAATATTCGGTACTTCTGTTACTTGTTTTTAAAAAATGATTTATACCAAAATAAATTTTATATTTTCAATGTCTCATCAGGTGATACTTTTGGTTTCCCTGAAGAAAACCCTGGAAGGGTTGAGGAATTTGTTCATCCAAGAAATAAGTTCTTCAAGCCATCTTACGAACATCCTCAAGGTTTTAAACCAGATTCTGACATTGATAATGAGTAAGATAATCTTAATTCTCTTGAATAATTATGTTTATTAGATTCTTGTCACTTTTATTTCATGCTATCATTATATTAGTTATAATTTATGTTGTTTGAACTATTATTAACTCAGGTCCTACGCTCCAAAAGTATTTGGAAAACTGTTAGACAAAGAACCTGTCCAATCTCCTGCTAGTCCATTTATTTCAAGGAGTATGGTGACTTCCCATCAAAGGAAAATTCTTCCTAATGGGGTAAGTTTTATTAAGTAGTATTTTTGTTAGTTGATGATAAATCTCTTTTTATTCTATATAATTTACCAGGCCTTGAAGCTTTTGTGGAATTTTTTAAAATAAAAGTTCTGATAAATTTTTTGTAACAAAGTTCTGAGTTTATTGTAAATGTTTAATTTATATTAATTAAAAACAAATATTTATGTTAAATGAGAAATCAACACTTTGTTCTACTTTTTACAGATATAATTAATGTAGAATGAATTGCTTGATTTTTATATTTCCTTTATTTAAGTAGCTAAGAATGTTCTATAAAATTACTAGTTTTTAGATTACTTTTTAGCAAAATGAATTGCTGTAAAAGAACTCCTAAATAATTTTAAAAAAAAGTTTTAGTTCTGAAATAACAGAAACACTATTGAAAATAAAGATTTCAGTGGTTATGGAACTAATTAAAAAAAAGGTTTAATTTTTCATTTCAAGTACTGTGATTTACTGCAATTTTAGTAATGGAACAAATAGACTATTTTTAGTTTCGTATACATTTTATGTTGAAATAGCATACTCAGCGGTGTATCGAGACCATTTGAGATCCAGAGTGGCTTTATATTGTGTTGTACCCCTATAAGAAAAAACAAAAAAATTATTTCAAATTTGAAAAGTATTGTTTCATCTCATTGATGTACTTATGTTCTAATTTCCAGTTGAATAATTAAGAAATTAGATATAAATTAGTTACTATCCTTTTTTTTGTACTTGTGGGTCCTCGTCATATTTGGAGAAGAAATATAATAAATGTTACAGTTAACCATGTCTCTTTTTTAGTATCTGTATTTGTTTCTGTTGAAAAATATATATTTCTCAATGTTCTGTGCCTTGGCTCATTAGTTGATTGTTATTTATTAGGTCGTTTGTATTGATGTGATTAATTAAACAAATCCACTAAGGAGAAGTTACCACAAAAAAAGTTCTTGTGTGATTTAAGAAATGTTTACCTGTGTGGGAGCTTGCATTATTCGTAAGCAATATTAGGAAAAAAATGTTTGTTCTTAAAAACAGTATAATGCTATCCAGAAAACTTATTGAACTCACCCATTTGGTGAATTTTTCATACCTGACACTAATGGATCCAGGATTATATTTTGGGGGAGGAGGGGCTTAAACCTGAAAGATTTTTTTTTTATGTATGTGTCAGGATAATTACTTTAAAAGAAAGAAAGAAACTAACTACCTATATGAAATGGTGTTTAAGTGATTCTTTAAGCCCTATTAAATGTAATTAGATGAACAATAATACTTTTAGAGATCATTTTTTTCTTAAAGCATGGTTCTATTTTACCATTTGGGGGAGGGGGCTTCTGCCTGGAAGTCTCCCTCCCTCTTCCCCATAGATCCGCCTGTGGTACCTGAGATGATTATGTTGAAGTAATAATTTACATTATAAGTAAGTAAAACTGGAATAGCTTGTCCCACTGAAAAATCATTTTTAGAGTTAAGTAGTAAGAATCGGCTAATCCGTAAACTTTACCAATCCAGTGTTGTAATCACTGAGACATATAGAGGTTGAGCTTATGGCTGCACTTATGGTGCAGCTTTACAAGTTGAACTTGATAAAACTAAATCCTGGGTTGTGAAAATGATCTCTATGTCTGCATCATCTGTATTCATATCTTCAACATACAATTTGTCACGTCCCAATCCTTCGACTTACCAACCTCTGAGTTTTGAAGCCTTGTTTTTTTCAATGATATTTATTAAAGTTGTAGTATGAATTGACTGTTCTTTAGTACCACCGAGAAGTAGTAATACGAATGTAAGGACTGAGATTGTGGATTCATCCCTTCTCCATTCAATTTGCTTTCTTTCGTCACCTTGTTTGTCAAAATCCATTGTTCCTGAGGGCTGGAAAAAAGGATTTATGCTAACCTATTTAGTATTTTTTTTTTAAATGAAGCTATCATAAAATTAAGGAAAATATTTTTACCTGCTTTGGATCCCACTGAGGTGGGTACACCACTGAATATTTGTTGATAATTATTTAAATGCATTTAGCCTAGAGACTTACTTATTTTTTATCAAATAACTTTTATACGATATCATAAAATCATCAACTTAATTATTCATCAAGAAGAAATAGTCTTCAAATTTACTGTATGCAACTTAATTAACAGTTACAAATTTCAATTGAATGAATAAGAATATAATAAGTATTTTCAATATCTTCTTTAAGCTTTAGAAAAAAATAATTATTAATTTATTATTACTTATTAAGTATTACTATTAATAATGTTGTTTTGTGTCCTGTAGGGTATTGAAGAAAGGCGAAAGTCAATTAAAGATGGAAAAGAAGAAGTAACAGTGTCTCGTAAGATCGGTGACCGTAAGCATATAGTTACTACTATTAAAATGCCAGATGGATCGACAACTAAAAATGAAGAATTTGTCAATTTCGATGAAGGTAATGTTTTTCTATATAGTCTTCAAATTCAAAATTAATCAGTTGCTATACTCCCTTGTAGACTAAGACTTTTTTTTTTTCATGAGAGTAATGGTTTTTTTTTTGTATTATTATTTATTGGTTAGTGTATTAATTATTTGTATATATTTGTTTCAGGTCAGTTAGGAGATTTTTACAAGACATGGAACAAAATGTAGAACACATAACATAAAACTTACATTGTACGTGCTCAAAATAATTATTCCTTCTGAAACATTGAAATTATATATAATGTTAATACTGTCTTTAAGTCTGAAGATTTTAGTAATAGTCAGCTTATACTTTTAGATTGTAGTAGAATAAGTTTTCTTTGTAATAGCAGCTTAAATACCAGGAATTTTGTTTGAATTGTATATTTGTAAAAGTGGTAATAAAGCATAGTCCATAGATTAGTCCCACAAAAAATAAAGAAAACATAAGCACTGGTCCAACCTCCAACCCCCCACCTACAATAACCATAACCACCCATTTCATGTTAATACCGCCCCGTCCGCCCCCGCCAAACAATTTAATTTTACCCTCCCACCCCCTCCTAAACTCCTAATCAACTCTCTAAATATTCCCCCATCATGCCACACCTATACCCCCCACCCCTCCTTCCCAAATAAAACCAAGTTTAACCCCATTAAACATGACACACCTAACCCCCGCAAACACCTACCCCCCCCCTACCCCCCATCTCAACCCCCACTACCTTCCCCCCCGATAACACCCCCACCACACGACTCCGCACCCTAGCCCACACCCCACACCGACATTCCACAATACCCATTACCCCCCCCTACATCCATATCCACGGCCCCACAATCCCCCCCTAACACCCATCCATTCTTTAAAAAAAAAAAAAATAATTTCCACACGTTCCACCACGTATATTCCTCACAAAATCTCCAAAACCCCTCGTCCTAAATTCAAAACCACACCCCTGACAATTGTCAAAAGAAAAATTCCAAACCACATGCACGTAAGCACTGTTTGCAGTCTGTTGTGATATCTAATATACCATCGCTTTTCGGCCTTTCACGTGATCTTTTGCCTTCTATTGAGGCATTCATTGTTACGTAGAGACTTCCAGATGGATTGCTATGAGCTATATGCCCTGTCCATCTTAACCTCCGTGCCTTCATATCATGGGATATTGATTAATCAGTTTCTGTAAGCAGTTCTTTATTGGTCTTTCTTCTCCATGTGTTAGTACTCTGATTCCAAATCACTCCGGTTATCGTGCGGAGGATTTTCGTCTCAAATCTTTCAATCTTTTTTTCTAGGGTGCTGGTTAGTGTCCATGTCACACAGCCATATATTAGAAGTGGCTTTATCATAGCATTATACACTATTAGTTTGAGATTTCTTGAGTAATCTCAATAAATGAGAATAGGATAGATCACGCTGTAAGGATGGTGTCCTCATAGACATGAGACAGTCAGGGAGGAGAACAGTACATGCTGCAGGTCATTTGGGGCAAAATGATAAACAATTTAAAATTTATGACATGGGTACCAGAGATATACTTAAATACAAAAGACATCAATTTAAGAGAATAATAGACCATACGGAAATCCATTAAAATATGATTAAGTTATATAAGTCAAAAGAATAAGTAATAAAATAGAAAGAAGTAAGATGTAGTAACAACTATAATTTCTTATCACAAGAAGCAAAAATGAATAATATTGGGAAAGACATGAAAAGGATATGATGTCATGAAGACATAAAAAGTAAATGATAATAATTGAATGTGTAGATAGTTAACCATATGATTGTTCAAGAAGATGGTTGGGGAATCGACCTGGAAAATTATCGAATAGTACCTAATTATTAATTTGATGGCAATGTTCCAACCCAAATTGTAGATTTCATCTGGACAGAATAGTTGAATGAGCTAGACAAGCAACAGAAGAAGATGTCCAAGGAGATTAACTTCTGATAAAGATCTAATCTAATGAGTAAAAACATTAGGAAAGGATAAATTATTAGGTAAATTTGATATTTTGTTTTTTTCTAAATCCGGGACCATTTCCTTCTTGGATAATAAGCAATCAGAGTAAAACATACTGAAAATTATATCTTGAAGCAAATGCCATGTTCATAGCAAAAGTATCTGGTTGGCAGCCAAAAAAGAAACTAGAAAAGATGTTAGGAAGACTATGTGGGAGATTGGATAAAAGCATATTGATTTCAATTGATAAAGAAAAAAAAAGATTATACAATGATACTAACGAAAGAAAGTTGATGATTTATATAGTTATAAGTATACAATATAATAGTTTAAAAATTGTATAAGTGTACTATAGGAATTCAATAAGAAGGAACAAAACATGACAAGTGATAAAATTATTACATGGCAAATGTTTATTATATTAAAGTTATAGTACAATGGTAGTGATAGGTATGATATATAATATTATTGAAATAAAAATTAAGAAGTAAAATATAGGAAGACAAAAGTAAAGTGTTATTTATATGAAGATTTGTTAAAAAAAAATGGGAAAACAAAATCCATAATAAATTCCCCACATTTAATTTATCATTTTCATTCTTCAAATCCTCTTAAACTAATCTCAAATCCCATATCAACAACCTTTGCTACTTCTATAAACAAACTTATCCATTACTAGCTATCTATTATAAGAACAATAAGTTTTTCTTCTCAAAAGTCACTGTAATTACAACAAAAATTAAAACAATTAAACAAAAAATAATGGATAACCTAATTTTTTTTTCTCTATTTTTTTTCTTACGTGTAGTGCTTATAATTGTCAATTTTAAACAAGTATACAATACCAATTCAGAGCATCAACTTCAGGTTGCCTGGAAGACCATGTTTTAAATGATTCAGAGTTATTCAAATTTAATGTGTTAAGTTTTAAGAATGTTAATAAGGCTGTTCAAAAACAAAATACAAGTATTTTTTTTTCTTTATTAATATAAATATTAACATTTTATTTGACTTTTAAAAAATAAATAATACATTGACCAAGTTAAGTTTTAGATTTCTTAACCATGTATTTTTTAAAAGAATTCTTTCATTAAGAAAACTTATTTTTATTTAATATTACAATGATAGTTTAAAAAACAGTGATCTACCTTAATAAAACTGATATTATATTTTACAAATGAGTATACATTTTAAAAATTATTTTTTGGAAACTTATAAAAAATATATTCTAACACCGAACTATTCAGGTCTTCTCTCCTGCAGTACATCTTTTAATATTGAACCAGGGTTTCTTCCAACTGGAAAATGGGGAAGCACTGGAACTTCTTGAGTTAGTAGAGAACTCTTCCTCGACTATAACATCATATTAATTATTATTCATATTTAGAAATATATTATATTAAAATATACAATCTTCATTTCATTAACTTACGGATGGCGGTTCAGATGGAAGAGAGAGTGGCAGTATAACTTCAGGTCGAGGCTGGGATTCAGCCTGCAAGAATCTGATGAATGCTTCTGATAATGACTAGTAAAACAAAATTACAGTTAAATTATAAAGTATCTGAATGTAAATGATTCATTATTTTTTGGGTATGAAATTCCAAAACAGACAAATGCATTTCCAATTTTTTTATATATTTTTTAATTTTATGTGTTGAAACTCAATTCTCATTAAGTAACACAGTTTCTATCAAAATCAATTAATCAGATTTTTTTTTTCCCAGATATTCTTTCATCTCATACCATTTATAGTACCAAAATATAATTAAAAAAAAAAATGAAAATACAGTTGGATAGTTTTGTCATTTTACACCTCATTTTAAAAATCTAATATTAAGTAAATTATAATATTTTAAAATAATAGACCAAAGATAATTAATAATCTTAATTATTGTGGTATATAACTAGAATTTCGTTGTGTTGATACAACAATAGTAATAGTGAACATTTTCACATTGGCTATATTTTAAAATCAAGGGTTTAAAAACAAAAATCATTGAAGTTTTCCATATATATTTAATGATAAATCTCATTCTATATTCCTCTTTCACCCAAAACTCAATAAATGAAATCAATTTTCAGTACGATTAAAAACTTTGAGAAGAAAATATGAAGACAATTTTCGTCAAATTTATTTTTACGAATGCAAACTAGCTAGCAGGCAGTGCTCTGAAAACTGCTTGTAAAATCAATTAAGTGTGGGAACAGGATGCAATTAATGACTACATAGGAAGCATCAGTTTCAGAAGTTTCACTATTGAGATTTCGAGTAGGAAGACAAGTGAGGTTATGGGCAGCATTTTGTAGTTGACAAATAGCCGAAGCCAGTGAAAACACTCAATCAAAACAATACGAGAAATGGTGGAAGTTCAAACTCTGTGTGAACCAATCTATCAGTACCTGAAGACCATTGGTAAAACAAAAAAGCTTCCCAAGTGGGTACCACAAGAGGTAAAAAGACGAACAAACAAAAATTGCTTTGAAATCTTTAACATGAAATAAAAATTCCTTTCCTGCTGGGATAAATAAGCTTATTGTACAGAGGGAAAAGTGTATGGAGTTTGATGAAAATATATTATTGAAGTGAAGATTTTGCATATTTTCAATTAACATCAAAATTTGCTTTATTTATTAATCAATCTAATAACTTTATTCGACTCGCTTGATCAGAAAACAATGAAAAATTTTACAGTGTTAAAATGTTTGTTAATTGTAATACTTTCCCTTCAAAAAGCAATAACTAAGGTACCATAGGGAAATAGGTGATGGAAGTAATTTAGACCTTTTAAGGTGGAAATAGTACGGCGGGAGATATTGGATATATGATTTTGTCAGGAAAGCATTTGATCAAAGATCATTCCAAGGATTTTGATGGAGGGATAAAACTTGATGGTATTAATGTGTAGGAACAGAGTTGGAATATTAGGAACAGTTTTAAGGAGATGATTGAAGCCTATTAAGATTGCCTTCTTCTTTTCTGCATTAAACTTCAACTTGTTAGCTCTGGCTCAGTCACAAATTCTATCCAAGTATTCTTGAAGTTTTTCTGTAGCTGATAATAGGTTGGTGGGCGGCAAGGACAGATATATTTGTAAATCATCTGCATAGATATGGTATTAGGAGTGATGGATTAGGAGGGAAATTATTTTGTTCAATTTTAACCTAATATGGGTCATTATGTTATTTTAAAGTTAATTTTAATTAAATTAAGTTACACTATGGTTTGCCCCTTACTAAATTAAATTCATATACCTCGACAAATATTACATTACCTGCTGACGCCCGCCAGGCTCTAATCCAACTTTCTGCCTTTCTTCTTTACTTAAAGATAAAACTTGTCCTAGGACTCCAAGGACTTGAGACTTAAGATCTGCTGGTGAGGTCACATAACCAACTATTAGATTTTTTACCAATTGCCTGAAAAACGTTTTTAAAAACATATTTAATTATATCATGACAAAATCTAACCTTAAGATTAACCTTAGATTAGAGGAGTAATTGATAAAGTTATATGGTATAGTTTTGTGTAACTGGAGACTTGGCCAGATATTGTGAAGAGGTGCAAAATAGGAGTTTGGATTTTAGCTACCATGATCTAATTGTATTATATTATTTTTCCTTCAATTCTGTCTCCCCACTTTGAATCCTCCAGTTACATTAAATAAATTAAAAGTATAATCTATTTAAAATTTCCAAGTTTCTAAAGTATTTCCATTATAAAATCAATTATAAAAAAAATACATTATATTAGTTTAATCTAATTTCAATGGATACTCATAGTTAATTATGTTTAAAAATCTGTATAAACATACCTATCAACTTTACTGTCACCGCTTAGGTCATTTACTTTTTCCTCTTTTGCTTTGAGCTTCTCAGTCAATTCGGCAACTGTTCATAAAATACATTATCATAGATGATATAAAAGTTTAAAATATGTAAAGTTGTCAGATGATAAAGACATTTTCAGTGTTATCATACTGAAGCAAATAATAACACATGAGTCAAGATATTAATATATCAATGACATATCAGATATTAACATACGAGGTATGATAATAACTGTAACCTAGATTACATACTACTTATAAAACTACATTGTTGAGTTAATAATATTATTTTTTATGATTAGGTAATTTGTAGCATTGTTACATTGTAAATAGATTTTAGTATAATTAAATTTCATGCATTCTTTTTAATTTATATGAGATGGCGTCCTTCACTATTAATTTCTTTTTATAGCTGACACAGTGCATTCTCAGGAATACAAAATTGTGAAAAAATAAAATAAAATAAATAGAAAGAGGTGCAGAGAACAAGAAATAAATTTTTAACAATAGATCCCTCTCCTACTTGCCTAAGTGAAAGAAACCATTTATTATTTTTTAAAAAGTTATTTTAAATGAGACATAACTCAAAACGATAAGTCGGGTTAGGTTACAGTACAGTTTCTTTTCAAGAAAATGATTCTTTTATTTGAGTAGGTAAGCACAATTACTTTAGGTTTATTTTTTAACTAAATGAATTATTTCAACAGAAAGTTAAAATAAATAGGTTCTATATAAACTTTTATTAGAAAAAACTTCTAGTCCCAAAAGGACAGAAAAACAATTTAAAACAGAAATGCTAGTTGCATTGGAACTGATTAAAAATAATTTTATTTCAAGCCATGGTATTTGAGGTTTTAAATTTTATTGTTGGCAGTTTTCTTGAAAACTTCTGTAATTAGAATTTTTTGATGATCCAAGCACATCCTCACCAAGCACAACAGAAAACTGATTCATATAAGTTAAACAATTAAAAGGAGAACTATACTTAATTTTATTTTATTATTTGAAATACATATAAATAAATAAAATGGTTACTGTGTTGGAGAAAAGATTAAAAGATAAAGTTGTTTTCTCTAAATTATATTTAGGATTATTAACTTGTTATTGTATATGTAAGGTTTTGACATTTTTTTACGTAAGCATGATTTTTATACCCAGTTTGTTTTAATTTCAATAAAATATTTTTACAAATCATAATCATTTTTTACAAACTCAAAAATTTCTTTGAAAAATCAGATTTATTTTAAAGGAAATAGGTTTTAAAATTAATTAAAATATTTCCATAAATACAGACTACATTGCATTTCAATATATTCATTGTTAATAACCTACTCTAAATAATTTTGTAGCTATATAACTTTCAGATAACTAATGATTGTAAAAAAACATTATCTTGAAAATTCTGAGGTATTTCCATATATATTATGCATTTCTCTTTAGTCACATCAGGAATCAATTACACACAGATGTTTCAACATGCAAAAACTGATCTAATAATGCTATAGAAAATTTTATTTTCAATACAAATTAAGCTAATAGACATAAAACAAATAAATGAATTTAGGATTAACTAGAAGATTCTAAAATAAGGTTTTATATTCCTCAAAACCATTACATGTTTCAATAATTCACGCATCATGTCATCAGTTCAGAAAAAAATAAGATCACATAAATGCAAATTACAGACAGAACATGTCACATTAACAGCTAAGATATGAGTTTTATTTTAGAAGCACAAAACTTTATTTTTAAATCTTCCAATAATATCCAAACAATAACTTATTATTTTTTAGTATTTTAGCTTTGATTTTTTAAATAAATGCATTAACAAACTAAACTAAAAACAAGGCAATAAAAATTATAGCATGCAAAATAAAAATATTAAAAAAAAGTCTTACATATCCAATTTCAGAGATGATGCAGGCTGAAGAATCGCAAAACTGGGTTCAAGTATTAACCAGGTACTGGCTGAGATCAAACAGTTATGCCAGCACCTGATGTAATACTCAAACTCAAGGGTTGCATGAACACTTGAATGTGGTTCTGCTAATTCTAATAGTTTAAATATTAACAATACTTATAGGCAGGCTTCTCTTTGGCTTTGTCGTGAAAATGATAAAAGGTGCCAATAGTATGTAAGTCCAGATGTCTGGAAATAATTGCAACAAATTCACCTAGTTCAATTTAGATTTGATCTGGGAAATTGGGCTAAATGAATCCAATCCTCTGGTGAGAAATGAAAATCTTTGAAGTTATGGTCTTCCAATTTTTTTTTTGTTATTAAATTTTGTTACTGATAATAAAGGCTCATTCATCCATTTAAGTAAAATAATAAGATCCATACATATTTTGGTAAAGAAGGGTCATTCATTCCTTAATGTAATAATTAAAGCTTATTGTTCACCATTGGTAATCGTCTCTCCATGGTCGATGGCGCTTGAACCCACCTCTCCCCGGTCCCAAGATATTTTATTACTCCCCCTTCTTAAAAACAGTGCAAGCGAAAGTAAAATTTAAAAAAATCGTAGACCATATAAAATTATATTTGCTGTGGTCTGTTCCAAGTTTCTTCTTTTTCCCCTGGTTTAAAACTTTTCATAGTGAAAATTCATAACCCTGTCTAAATGAGCCCTCCTCAAAAATTAAAAATATTGTCAAAATGTGCCTCCCTCAACAATTTTGATGGGACACCATGCCCCATAAAATCCTCTTCTTTACATCCCTGTTGTCCACTATATATGTAGGGATTTAATGGTGTTATGGAAAACAGAGCCAATGCCTTTTCACTTCTCAGCATGAAAAATGTGACTATAACTTGCACAGTTCAGAACATCAAGTGCGAATATTCTAATAAGATCACTAATTATGAAAAGTGTGATAAGGTATGCCTGAAAGTGTTAAATATATCATTTTCCAACAAATGTGAATCTACTTTGAGTGGTTTAAGATATCAAATCTCAACATATGTAGTCACTGGTTAGCAAGAAATCAGAAAAGCAGATGAGTCTTGATTTTAAGCTTTGTGAGTGATGGTTCATTCCAATAAATTTTTTAGTAGTTCTTAAATGTAGGAGCCTATGATAACAGATTTTCCCACAAATTGATTAGAATGATAATAATTTAAGAAACATTAAGTCTTTAGCATGAGTAATTAAATAAAAGAAAGTGTAAAAATCTTGCATTGATTTCCAGACTCCTATAGCACCTATATAATACTATTAAAAAAATTCATTGTTCAAAAAATAAATTACATAGAAACCTCTAAATCTGAATAATTATAACATATTAAATTATCTGATGAAAAACTATGATATTGAGCACCAAATAATCACTAGAAATATTTCCAATAAAACAAGCTCACATTTTTTTTAATTATTTAGAATTATAGTATTATATCTATAAGTAGCAGAATAAGGATTTTTTTTATCTTTCATACTAAATGCCTGCCTATACATATATGTATATATGTGCCTTAAAGAAGTATACAAAAACAAAAAAACATGCAACTGATATAAAATAATCTTGAACAATAGCCATGCATTTACTAGCTGGCATTAAACTAAAATTTATAATAACAATCTAAATTTAACATTAAAATAAAGTATATGCTATAAGATAATATAAATTAAAAGACAATGATAGAATATTATACCACAATAAGTTTTAAAAATTAAACTAGGCAGATTCTTTTAAGATTCATTTTTATGAATTTATGGCATTTTTACTTTTTTTATAATAATAATTGTTAAGTAAATAAATGTATTGTAATAAACATTTTATGGATATCTATTAAAATCTCAAAAATAAAACGGTAAAGCTTGTAACCATAATCGTTTACAAAGATATTTTTTCATTTATTATTTTTTGAAAAATATTTTAGAATTATTTTTAAGTGATCTCTTAACAAAAAAGCGAAGGAAATGGCATTGGCTGAACTCCTTGAAACAGAGGTTTTAAAGTGATTATGAAATATGAAGATATAAAATAAAATGCCATTAATCAGTAATTAGAGCAACAGAACAATAACTTTGAAGTGTAAGCCAAAATACCTTTTTAATAAATAATAAACCATTTCAAGATTGGCTATGCAAAACTTCCAAGTTTTGAAGAACAAGCTATTTTAAAGAAAGACCTTGGGTGATTTTCTCAAAACCCGAATTAGAAATTGGTGGTAGCATTCAAAATATTATCTAGGATTTTATTACCATTGACACTAAAGTTTTATGAAGACGAATAATGGTTTAGAGATTAATGAGCAAATTTTGATCAATTAATTAAATAAAATACTAACCATTCATGATTTATAGTAAAGCTATATTAAAATATTGACTTTCATAGGAAACAACTAGATAAGGGCTAAATCATTGAAATGGATTATTTATAAATTTAAAAAGCTCACAAGAATAGTTTGTACTTTTAAATGGAATTAAAAAAGAATTTTAGAAATTTAAGATTAGTACTACTAATTGAGTATTTATATTAATTCGGTGACAAAAGATCGACGTGGTCTGTAATGGCAACAGAAAAAAAAAAAAACAACTACTAATTGACCAAATAACTCTATACATATACCTGAATAATCTTAATACAAACAGTTTTAAAAATTATCGAAGAGCATATAGCTTTGTAATATTTGGAAAATACAGTGCTAATAAAAAAATTATAAAACTATACTTCATGCTAGATTTATATATATATATATATATATATATCTATTCATGCTCTACATAATATAAATACTTAATTCAATATTAAGTATTTTGAGAATACTAATGGAAAAACTTACAAAGTACAACTTTTTTAAAAAAAAATTGAAATAGCAAACTCCCTCATATTTTGATATTAGAATGATAAATACACAGTCATTTTTTATGTTGTTGTTTATGAACAGTAATTATTATGTTAAAAATTTGTATTTATATTATTACTGTTATTATTCTTACACCCAACAAATATTTAATTTAATTCTTTATTTCAGAAATGACAAATGTGATATTTTAACCAGTTTTTAGTTAAAAGTGACCATTGACCATTAACGTATCTTTGAATAAAAAAAACAAT